GCAAATTAAAATTACTTTTAAAAAATAATTTTAAGTCCTCTGTATGAATAGGAGTTAAAATAAATTGTCCTTTTCAAGAATTGAATTTTATCCACAGGGATTAAAAAAGGGTAGTGTGTCTGTAGGAGACTAGGCCCTTTTGGGGTAGTATTTATTTGTTTATTTGAATATCTACAGAAAAAAAATGAGCTGCCTTTCTGAATTTTCACTGATGCTAAATGCCAAACTGCAAGGAAATAAACACAATCAGCTATAGAGGGCCTGTCTTCCTCACTTGCAGCTAATGACTATGGTCTGCAGCAAATAAATATTTAACAGAAAATAAAGAAGTTTCATCAGGAGAAACCTCTGCAAAGTGAATATACTGTCTGTCATGTTTTCTTTTCTGAAAACAACTTCACCTTTATGAAAAGTGTGAGAGATGATACAATGTAGAATTTATCTTTTAAGGCATAGGTCAAAATCAAAACCTTAACATTCACTTCAGAAATCAGCTGGAGACTAAAAGATGTTTAAATGCTTTTTATTGCGTTCCTCATTGGCTGCTATTCATGGATGGACGTAAGAGGTGATTACTACACATTATGTCATTACCGGGAGTTGACAGTAACAGAGAGAATGATCATCAGTATTGGACCCAAAGAGTATTTAAAAGGTGTAAAGCATTTCTAGACGCTTCAGCACCTGGTACTGATGATACCAATGATTCCAGTACTGTATGTTTGGGAGCAGATGAACTGAATTCATATCAGCAAATATAAATATCAACAGTGTCTCAGTAAGTCAAATGAAGGTGCTCCTTTTATAGTTAAAAGCAAGAAATAGCCACTCGTAGGGAGTGATTAATCTCATTCTGAAGTAGATCGCTGAAACAGGGTAGATGAAAACTGCTCTAACACCTCATATTTCTCTCCATTGACTGTAAAAGGAGATCTCAGATGATTAGCTCAGGTGGCTACATGGCAGATACCTAAGATTTGGTAAGATTAATGATAAGCAATGGCAAAAAGGTCTCTTATAGCAATATGAATTATAGCACCTTTTTAATAAGCTTTTTCTACTCTTTGCTGTTTCAAAAAACAATTTCTTCTTGTAACCATAATTGTAAACAATTTATCTATTATGCAAAATCTGAATAGATATTGTCGTGATACCATTTACTGTCTTTATTTTAAAAAATGGAGACCTGATAGAGAAGCTGTGTTCCTACGACCGGTTAGCCTATGGAAATAATTCCATTCAGAAACTCTTCAAAACCACAACACAACTGATCAAGGCACATGAAATAGAAAAGTTAAAAAGATAAATACCTGATTAAAAGGAATTAGTTCTAGCCTTCATTTCTAATTCCTTGACACTTCCCATGACTTCACTGGTGCGTCCTTACTCACAGCTGCCTTAAGAATGTTGAAGAGTCTTGCTATAAATGGATAAATGCATAATTATGAGAGAGAAGAAATTTACTGTGCACATGAGGTAAAATGGTATTACCACATGTTATGGATCTGGGTTACAATTTGTTGCTTATGCACGGAGCAAGTGAGCAGTACCTACTGAGTGGTCCCACCATATTTGTATTGATACCTATTGGTCAATAGCTGTGGGAGGATGATTCCTGTGACACACACTGACCTTATTAACGTCATGCAAAGGTGGTCAAAGATGCAGTGATTCCCTATACACAAAATTAGTTGTAACAGTGTAGCCTAAGGAGTAGAAGAAAGAATAAAAGCAAAAGATAAGATTAAAAAAAAAAAAAAAAAGAAAGAAAAAAATCTCCAAACTGTCCCTTAATTTGGAAAAAGATTTAGCAAAAGAATGAAGTTATCACGGAATTTTTATATATTATCTCTGCTTCATATTTGGTAATGAGGTAATAAAATTTATGTATTCATTATAAGAATGCATCCTAAAGACAGGCATTTTAATTTCTGCATAAGCAATACACATAAAATTTGTCACAAATAGAACTATAATTTAGAATAACAATTAGAATCCATTAAAGTTCTTTTAATTGTTTTTTTTCTCATATATTTTTTTATCCTAATTAATGTAACACAAAATGAGATTTTAAGCTTAGGTTAATTTGTTTTGCTCAGACTGAAGTATTTGTGCAAGCTCCTTATTGCATAAAAATGTGAAGGGGAGCCGAATTGAAGAAGCAATAATATTAATGCCCCCTTGAATATCCTATTAAACAGTTTTCAATAGATGCTTGGATCTTCTAATTGTCAATATGAAACTGTCTGAAGAGTTGACATTGTATATACTGAGGCTCTTAACAGCTTTTTTTGCAAACTCTGGCCATGCTAAACACTTGATAGCTCAGAGAAGTTCGTATAAAAATGTCACAGTGCCTTCTGAAAAAGTGAATATGGCCCTTGTGACCAAACTTGTGAAGGTGTCTTGATGTTTAAAAATGAAGATAAGTAAGACTTGGAAAGCATTTAGGTGGATTAGATACTTATCTACTATTGAAGGTAATGCTTTGTAAAAATGGGATCCTGGAGAGCCCTATCTTACTTCTTATCATGTTTGTGCAGGGGAAAAAAAAAAAAAAAGCAGGGTAAGACAGTACTGAAAGAAAGAAGCACAGTAAACTCCTTTTTAGCTCAAGCTGAGTGTAATATTCTAGCTCTTATCCTAGATGTATTAAGTAGGAAATTGGTGTTTCTGAATTCAGTTAAAAGTCAAGCTATAATATATTCACATCCTCAGGTATCCCAGAAGCCACTGTATGTTTCCTCCCTTGATTAATGTGTAAGGCAGAAACTTCACTCTCTTCCATAGAAATGTGAAGGATCTCCTTCAAAATGGATGCTGGTTATATAAAGAAATATGTAATTTATAAAAGAGAGAATAATTTTCATTGACTTAAACTTTTTTTAATCCTACTAGTACCCAAGTTTTCCTTACAGATAACAGAAAATGTCTTCAATTTGAAAATAAACAGGTTGATGCAGCTTCAACTGTTTCCTTTGGGTTCTTCTCCTAAGGATACATTTAGTGATAAAAAGCCAAACTGTGACATTATTACCTTCCTTCATAAAGGGTGGTGATTCTTTTTAATCCTTATGTCATTCTGCAAACGTTACCCGGATCAGCTTTGTAGGGCCTGAGACTTCTTAGAGCTTGTTGTTGAAAAATAAATAGCATATAAGAAAAGGAGATTTAAAACTCCATTTTCCTAATTTTGTTTCCATCAGCACATTTCTCGGTCAATCTACTTTTCTCAGCTGTTTTGCACGTTTTTATTTTTCTTCCTTCGTGTACTGCGATGATCGGTTTTAACCTGAAAGCAACTGTCTTTTTATAGCTTCCACATGACACAGTGGAACTATATTCTAGATAATGAGTAGTGTGTTGAGACAGTGGTTACCTGCAAACATGAAGCAAATGTGGGAGTGTCATTGATAAATATATGGACCAGCCAAGAATCAGCTGCTGGGTGTGCATTCCGACCACATTGCATAAATGCATGGTGGGCAGAAATGATGAGAAAAAGTCAGATAACATAAAGAGAAACTCATGTGATGTTAATAGATGCATAAAAATAAGCAGAGGAAAACCACTGAAATTATGCTGTGTACTTGATCTGATGCTCTAACACAAAAAAAAAGTGTATCAATATAGTAAAGTGTAACTTCCCAGTTTCCATCTTATATTAAAACTTCCAGATACAGTGGAAGGAGAAAAGGTCGGCTCTTCAGTGCTATGGTTATTATATTTTGGGTTTGGTATTGCAATATAAAGCAGCTTTTCTTTTCAATGGCTTTTTTTTTCAATGGCTTTTTTTTCAGATTTTAGAACTGCTCAATGCCATGTTGTAGAACTATTAAGATTTGTAGATTTCTCTTTATGTGACAACAAATACAAAATTTGTGTGGGGAAGAGAGTGAGTTTATCTAACAGTTGAACTACATCACTTTGAACAGAAAGATCAATATACTCTTAATCCTCTTATAGTTTGAAAAGATTTTTCCAAGAACAGCAAAATAAAATCAGAAGTGTTAGTTTTTTACAATTTATATTATATTTGCACATTTTAATTTCCTATTCTTTTTTCTGGTTCTCCAAGACATCCCTGTGATCTCTAATGTATAGTTTCTTAAGTTATTAATGTAAGAGATTTGTAAGAGATACTAATGTAAAAATAAATTCATTTAAAAATGATAGGTTGGGGTGGAGCATGATGACAAGAATGACACATTGCTCACTAAAAGAAATTATTTTTTAAGTTTTCTTTGTTCTATTTTACCTTTTATTTATTAAAAAATGTATCAGTCTGCAAGATAAAGATAATGATTTGTGAAATTACAAGATTAAGTCCAATATAAGTATTAATTAATGGAATATAAATATTATGCATTCATGTATGTTCTTTTAGCTAATATAAAGTCTTTTACAACAACTGTATGCTATGAGAGGCCTGCCATATGTTACTTAGATAAAATTAATCCCAAAGTCACATTACAAATAAGCAACACGAAGTCTGAAGATTTTAAGCCCTATTTTGAAGACATTTTTATGGTTTTAGTCATACTACGTTAGCCAGTTATTTCATTCTTTGCAGGGAGGTAAATTGCTGTGAGTTTTGCTCTGTACCACTGAAGATAATGCAAATTTTAACCAATTTAATTGGGGAAAAAAAAAAAAATCACAGCCTGGTTGACATCCAGATACTTAACTCAGATTTTAGTCTCATTATAGAAACAAAACCAGTATTCCTAAGTCTTCTCTTCCTTTCCACACTTTACAGTCTCTATTTGTATCCCTGTTATATAGTTGAATTAGTAGTAGTTTAAAAAGAAATGTTTCTAATACTGTAATGTTCAGGTCACTGAGGACTCCAGTCGGAGAGACTAATCCTCCTTCTCTTCACTTTTTCTGTAGAGTTATTTATATAGAGCTAGGATTATTTATAAAAGATCTTTTGATACTGCATGTTTCGTAAATACCAAGTAAGTAAGTTTGCATGTGTAATCAATCCTTTTTTTTAGGCTGCCTGGAATTGAAAGAAGACACCATTGAAAATCTTCTAGCAGCTGCCTGCCTCCTCCAGCTCCCACAAGTAGTAGAGGTTTGCTGCCATTTTCTAATGAAGCTTTTGCACCCATCCAACTGTTTGGGAATACGAGCATTTGCTGATGCGCAAGGATGCACAGAGCTTATGAAGGTGGCTCACAACTACACCATGGTAAGGCAGTTTTACAAGATCTAAATTATGATCTTGTGAATCCTCTATATCTTCTGTAAGTAAAAATACCGTGTTACTTTTCTGCTTGAAATAATTCTGTACTTCTCTGGAACTTTATTTCATAAGTGGCCCTCTTGAAACCATAGGAGTGGTAATTCCTCTCAGCTTCAGTGAAGTTATGAGAATTGGCTTGCTATGATGAATGCACTGTCTGCTGAGTCAGAACAGTACATGCCTTAATTAGATGCGTGTTCACATAGAGGTGATAATAGTAAAAAGTATCTGTAAGTCCTTAGAGTACTTTTTAATCACTGTTCCTTTTTGTTTAGCTTTAGGGAATCTTCGTAATTGTCATTGTTCTGCATGGCAACAATATCAAGGGAAGTTTTGGGGTTTTTTTTTGTCAAGAATTATCCCTCCTTTTATTCATCTGTGAAGTAGATTAAGACAGAAAGTTGAGCACATAAAGAATTTTATCTGACAATATTTTAAATTTTTCCAGTTATACCTGACAGAACAGGTATGGCATTAATATTAAAAATTAATCAGAATCAATGAAGCAAAAATATGCTACTTAATCAGAAACTAAATCATACCGGTAGCCATTTGATTCTGCATAGTTTGACAAAATTAAAAACATCTGGCTCATGAAATTAAGCTCACATAAAGAGTAGGTTACATATAATTTCTGAGACATAATGGTCCCTTAAGGTCTATACTGAAATTATTATTGAAGTAATACAGCAGGTTTCAATGAGTCTGCTTTGCTTGTCCAGCAGTTATGTCCTCATTTTATTTATTCTTTTCTGTAACTAATACCATATTGTAATTCACAGGTTTAACTGTGTTTTTCTTACCACTACAGCTCAAGTAGTTATATCCATTTACACTTATGGAGCTAGTTCTGTGGCTGGTTTTAATTTTCTCTGTATTTAGACATCTAAACTGTAGTTTTCCAGGTCCAAGCTAGTCAGTTTAACCTTCTGTCAGTGGAGAGAAATAAGCTGTCAGAGCAGAATTCATCTGATCTACCATAGAATGAGATTGCATTAGAAGTGAACAGGTATGGGTTGAAAAGTTCAACATTTTTGTCAATATATTTTTTAGATTTATGTATTACTTTGATATTTTTGGGGGGTGAAAAGCAATATAATGAGCATTTAATTATTTTTTTTTAAACTAATAGAGAAAAACCTTGAGTTTAAAAATTTCTCATCATTCTTTAAAACAATTTATTGAAAGATTTTTTGGGTGAATGAAATTATTATAGTACATTTGAAGACTTGTGGCTGATACATATCTGATGTATCACAAAGATCTGTTCCCATTTCTAAGATATTAGGTATATTATATAATCTATTATTGTTTTTAATGCTCAGGCCTAAAATCTGAATTATGTGTAATGGGAAAATCACCAACAAGAGACGGTGGATCAAAAAGGAAGTCAGTTGTAATTAATAAGCAAGCTCTGATGTAACTACATTTGCAAGCATGTACAATAGTATTTCTCTTTGCTAGAAATACAAATAATCACATCTATTCAACTATGCAATTACAGTATTTTTTCTGTACATGATTAAACCTGCAACCCAGTGAAAACATAGTCCTAAAAGTTAAACTTCATAGTGCATGATATTTTCATAGACATCGTGTTATTGCATTTAAGCATGAGGCAGCTCACATGTATTTGATTTGCTGTTTTGTGTTAAAGGGTGTGGATGAGCAGTTGTAAGTGGGGGAAGGGTGCCTTATTGCCTGTCTTGACTACAACACTCTCAATCAGAGAGAACCTACGTAAGAGAAAAGCGATTATTTCTTCTACATGCATGCATAACCGGGAAAAACTTCTAGAGTGCAAAGACGATACCCTGAAGAGTGTGATAAAGGAACAGCAAACAGAGGCCTTATAATGGGAAGAAAGGATAGGAAGGTGATGAGCAGAGCAGAGAGCAGATGCATAGTCTCTGAGGTGATGGAGAGCATTATTTTTTCCTTCAGACTCCAGGGAAATACTATGGACTGTGACGAGAGCAAACCTAGAGTAGGGCAAGGGGGAGTTTGTTAACAAACTCCTCCTGTCTTATGCAGAGGATTTGAGGGGAAGCCCTCTTTAAAAAAGGATGGGGAAATCCTTGTTTTAAAAAAGTTCTTATGCTTTCAGGAGAACTTCAAGGCCCTTTCTTTAAAGCTTTTCAGGGGGCTTTCTTTAAGAGTTGCAAGTGATGTATCTCAAATTCTGGTCTGTGAATCCTCTTCCAAGGTATCATTGCAAAAGCTCGTTTGTTATGAACAGGAAATAATGGCACTCCCTCCACTCTGGCATATTGTGTGGTCATTTGCTTGTAAAAAATTACCATTCTTTGAAGGCTAGAGAAAATAAATAGCTTAAGAGGTTTCTGATATGAAGGCAGAATAACAGATTAATGAATGCAACTTTCAAAGTTTAGGTGTTTCTGCTTTCTAAAGAAAAATCATTTTTCTCCATGAAAATGTGAAACATAAAACTAGTGAAGTGAATTTTCCTTAGCCAATTGTCTTAAATATTTACTTAAATTATTTCTCATATAAATAGTGGAATTGTCAGAAAATTAATCTCTCTGATATATGAAAAGCACTTATAGGGAGAAAACTTGGGGGGGAGGGGGAAGCTTTGACATCATTTGAGAGAACTCTAACAGCTTTTGAAGAATGAAATAATATGATTTCTTTCTGCACTTTTTTCAATCTTTAGAAATATTGAGTTTCTGGATATTTAGCACTGTAGCGCCAGTCTTTTAGCAATATATTGGTTCAGTGAATAGGGAGTTATAGCTGACTATCTGAATAGACAGTTCTATAATGCTAATCATCATAACAAATATTTTTTTAATAGAGTACAAATAACGAAGCTAAATGAAATAGATATACTTGTCCCCAAGGTAAAGAAAAAATGAAGGTAATGACTGAAATTATATACCCTTCATCTTGTTCTTTGCATCTACAAAAATATCTACTCTATATTAAGCACAAGAAATTCCTTTTTACCCCATCATATGTCTCTTAAAAATTGTAGCCAAGAATTGTCAAAAACAAAAATAACAATTTTTATTCTACTAACCATAATGCTATAGAGAAATACAGTTAGGCCTGACCAGAAATAATAGTGCTGTACCACAAAGTTTTCTGAGATAAAACACCTCAAAGAAACAATAATTCTACACTGGTTGTGGGAATGGGGAGCAAGACAAAGTTTTTCAAATAATCTTGCAAAAATAGATTTGCAGACCTGACATATGCTATAGAATGTGTAATAATTTTGAGATATGACTCAAAGTAAATCTCATCTTGGAATAATTTTGCTTCTTAGTTAATTACATAGGTGAAATTAAATACTAATTGATTCCTGGGGGAAAAAAAAAAAAAGACTTAATTCTTTGTAGTCCTTAGTTGAGGTACTCATTTAAAGCGCTGGAACCTTAGGATAACTCTCTGATTGCATCATACCTGGCAAGTGTCTTACAGTTTTCTTCCACCAATTAGTTTTAATTAGAAAGTCATTCACAGTTGTCTTCACAATAGCATTTTAATGAAAATCAATATATTTTCATGAAAATGGTTTGCTTCATTGAATCTCCATAAATGTTTTAATCTTCATTCTTCAAAAGCAATTTCCTTACCTAGTGTCAGACTTGATATTTTATAAGTTCTAAATTACAGTGTTGTTCATTAAAAAAATAATTTATGTATATATATTCAGTTTGCTTTGAGCTTTCGCATAACGTGTTATGAGGACAAGATGTTTGAGCCTGGAAATTTCTTTATATTGAAGAAGAAATAGCTGCTAAAGAGCAGACCACTGAATTTAAGAATCCTGTTGACTTCAGGAGATATGTCATTTCCAACACATGTTTTTTGTCACATTAGATAACTGTTCAATTCCCCTCAACCATGAAATCTGTGGAAGCCACGAATACAATTTTTATTTGCATAGTTGACACAAGTATGTCCAGACAATTCAAATGTGACAATGTGACAAACTTTTCTCAAAATGCAAAGAGTCATTGCTGAACCTGGAGAAAGCTTCTAATGGAAGTAAAATTCATTAACTGTGCAGTTATATATCCCTTTCCATGACCAGAGGCATAATATCCCTGGTATTTACTGAGATATTTAGTCTTCAGTGTCAAGTATCAAATTGTTCTTTTGAAATGCAAAATCTAAGCGAGGAAAAGAAAAGGTGTGCATGGACGAGGGGAGGCAGTGAGGAAATGAAGATAAGAAAAGCAGTGAAGGAAAACCAGAGAACATTTGAAAAATCTTTTAAAAATACACTTGCCAAATAACAAGTTATGAGGGTAGTGGGGCAAGAGGGGAAGGTAGACTTCATGAAAAGTTAGTGAACAATGAAATTTGGAGATTTCTATCTTTGCATTCCCCATACTTTTTATAAATGGAACTTGGATAGCAACATTTTAAATTAAAGCATTAGAAGCAAGAAGTTAAAAATAAGAGAAAAAATGCAAAGTTTCATTGGTTTCTTTTTTTAGGCATTTAGGTATGGTGGGGGTTTTGGGGTTTTTTTGTTTGTTTTTGTTTTTTAATTAATCTAATAATTTAAATGGCAGCACAGATACCCATGTCTCTCTTGATTTAAGACTTCCGTACATCTTAATTACAATCTGGATTTTTACTAGCTTGTCAATTTCTGTAAATTTTCAATCTGCAAAGCCATATGTCTGATAACTTTAAATTCTTAATCTACTGTCAGAGTTATATGATAGTACAGTGAAGTGCACGTGATGTCTTTTAAAAAAAACGATAGCAGCAAAATTGAAAATATCAATAAGCTAAAGCAAATGCATTCTTCTAACACATTTTTAGTGACAGTTCTTTATTCTTCTAGTTATCAGGGGTTTCATATGTAGGGAAGCTAACCTCTAAAGTCAGCAATTTATCAGCTTGTCATACTTGTCAGAAATTTATTAGTAGTTGTAGTGTATGATCTTATCTGTCTCTTTATA